TACAAATAAATGTATATGACTTTTTTTAAGGTGATGGACATTTCACTTGTCCCATAGAGGGCATTTCTACAGCCTTAAGTATGTTTGCTACTCAGATGACTCCAATTGTCTCTCAGAATTACAATCAGCCTAAATTATTCTGAGACAAGTGTTTTTGGAAAAGCTGAGGTGACCTAACTGAATACAGCTTCCTTAAAGATCTCTCACACTCCATCTGCACACATTCTCATCTTTTAAACCAGGATAGGAAACACTAGAGAGGAAATTCTTTGTTGATGACAAAGGTGCAGTAGCTTTCCCAATTCCTGCTCCTCTCCTCCATGCCTTACAGGTTGATCTTTGCAGCATGTTTAATATATGCTGTACCTATTGGTACAATTGTTATAATGAGTAATATAAATTACTCATTATAATTGAGTGTTGTCATGTGCAACGTCAGTATAGCTGCAGAAAATAAAGTCGTTTATACAATTGCTAACTCCAATTGCATGACTCTGGGACTACAGCTTCAAGGTAAAAATGTTAATTTGATAATTTTTGTTAACCATTTAGCATTTTTTCCTCACTTAAAACCACAAGGACTAGAATATCACTGAATGAAAACTGAGATTCTCCCATATGCAGCACATTTTGACATGGCACTGCATCTAGCATCCGTAAAAGGGATCAGAAATTAGGCAGAGTATATTCTAGAAAAAGATACTGAATTTACACTGAAAGAAAATGCCCAGTCCTAGTTGCTAGGTCACAATCCTTATCAAGATGAAAGCATTATTGGTTTTTGGGTGACAAGTTCTTATGAAAACCAGAACCTGCTCAAAGCCTGGAATTTACTATACAAATCCACTGATGGTAATGAAGAGAATAAAACTTTAGTCCAGCTTCTTTCATAACTATCAGAAATAAATAGAAACCTCAAAACCCTGAGGCAAAGCTTCAAGGAAGTCACTGCTTTGAGCTTAGCAGAGAAGAGACAAGGAAGAAGCCACCAGAGCTCCTTTAAACAGGAGAAGAACCAGGAAATGAAGATCCCCTTGGCTTTGCTGTTGTCATCAGACCATGCAGAAGTGCACATTCTGCCACTTTTGTCCAAGTTTACTGTTGAAGAGTATCCATAGAAAAGAGGGAATCACACAGTCCACCTTTTGTCACCTCACTATCCCACTCCAACTGCCCAACATGCTCACCTTTCCTTCTTTCCAACAGAATCCTCTCTGCCCTTTTTTTCCCCTGCTTCCACTTTATTCTTATTCACTTTTCCTGTTCCCAAGTCTGCTTTTACCCATAGAAAATTTTATCGATCAATAATTGACACACAGTTCCTTCCAGATCCCTGGAATACGGTTCTCCCATTGTGCAGACCAGGGATATGCTGAAATACAGCCTCAATTCCCTTCCAGCCCATGCATGGAACTTCATTTCTACAAAAATCTAGTGTAGGCACAGGGAGGAGGACTGGTGGACACAGGATCTGGCCTTAACAGAAGGCTGGAAAATAGGCTGGGTCTGCACTCCCAGATCAGAGAGCTAAAAAGTATTCTTATAAGTATACATTTAGATATTATTTAGAAAACAGTTATGATAATGTACATCCACCAACTCAATCCACATACTGCCCATCAAGCCTACTACGTGCTATCTTCTACATACTGCTATCTGGAGAAAAATATTACTGGTGAAGGGACAACTAAAGTTATGACACCTGCTCTGTTGCTCCATCTTCAACTGAGCACATTTTTCAGTTTTGAAGTTTTTAAACTGTCCACTAAAAATAAGATTGCAATCCAAGTAATTCAACAGCCTGTCATCAACCTGCCTCCCAACTTACATTCAAAAGTCAATCAGAGAAAGGAATCCAACTCAGTACATATTTTCATCTATTTCATTTGCATATGGAAATGGGAAGCAAAACAACATATGCAAGATAAGTCTATGATAAGAGAAAAGTTTACTGTTTGAAATACCATGTAAGTTCTGCCATTTTCTTAATTTCTTGGTTTGTCATCACTATCTGAGACAGTTGAAAATGAGCAAGAATGAATTACAACTTTCTGGAATATGGAAAGTACACAAAAAAAAAAAGACATTTTTACTATCTTCTATGCAACTTTGCAAATATTCTTGCTTTACTTCAGTTACCACATTACTTACCAAATTTATGACAGAAAAGAACTCAAAACAACACTTCACGCATTATTCAATGCCTTTTCCCAGTAATACCAAGAGATAATCATAACACTACCATGTGTGTGTCAGCATAATGAATTTTGGCTTGGACTAGAACATAACTTCAGTTAAACAGAGACATGCAAAATGAAAAAAAATCATGTGAGCAGCTGACAGAAACTGCTGCCAACCTACAGATCTGTGATAAAATAACAGCTACCACAGTAAAAAAAAGGAGATATATCTGCTATAAAAAGAGGCATTCAATTCTAAAAGTGTAAAGCAACAGTGTACTTAGAACCTCTGTCCCAAGAAAAATTTGGCATGAGGAATAAAAGGGCATTCCTATATAGGGTTGGGTTTTAACAACGGACCTTGAAAAAATGCATGACACCATTTATACAGATTTAATATTATCACACCAGTAAAACCTGGGCTCGAAGGGCAACAAAAGTGGCAGGAGAACGTTCACAACTGAGAGAGATAGTCAGCTCCATACTGACTTGCCAAGACAAGCAGGAGTGTTTAAAAAGTTGCTTCTTTTTAACCTTCTGTCTTGTATAGCAAACCCTGATTTATGTTGACCTTCTGAAAACAAGTGCAAGGAAATAAATTCTGGGGCAAACCCCAACATTTCTTTTCATCTGGATATCCTGAAAATTGGTCTAAGAATCTATGCCAAAATTCTTAATTGCAACGAGCATTTTCAGTTAATTTTGTTTTGTGGCTAAACAAAAATACTGACAACTGAAGACAAACATGAGCAGTCTCCAACAGAGACACTACTGACTTCTCACTGTGAAAAATCTAGACTCTGATTCTTGCAAGCATGTGTATGTATAAACACACACACACAGAGAATTCTGTGAAGAAGCTGGAGGAAAACAACATATTAAATCTGTCATTGCAAACCATGCTAGTTCATTCCTAACCCATTCATGACTAACAGAAGAAAAACAAACCAAATCCTAGGCTGATTACACAACAAGCGTTTCAGCCAGAGGTCTATAATAAGGTGGCTTTAAAGGCCAGGCACATAAACTACATTTTCAGAGGAGGATCCTACATAAGGACGTAAATTTTGAAAAGATTGATTCACTTTACAGCTTGCTAGTTTTCCTTGAAATACATAATTAGTACCTCAGAAATAAACATGAATCCAGTTCCCTTTACAAAATAAAATTTGAATCTTTCTCAAGAAGAAAAACTCAATTTAAGAAACATTTATTAGCTTTGTTTAGGTCAGTGGTGACAGAATAGGAGCATACTTGTGTTAAAGCAGCTACATTTCTGTGTTCCCTAGGTCACAGACTGGAACATCTAAGCTGAAAGTTCAATCTGAGAACCACAAGTCTGTGAAATCTATGGGGGAAAGTTACAAGGAGACAAGAAGTGGTCCTAATACTAGCATCTGTTGCTAGTCTGAGCAAAATAACTCAGTCCCATTTCACATTATGACAGGTCTTTGGGGAATAAAAACATGAAGGGTTATTCTAGTCGAGTTAAGAAGGGGACTCAGACAGATGACACTAGAAGCAACTTGAGATGAGGACATCTTATGAAGTAATTTACTATAGTCCAATTCAAATATTAAATTCAGTCTAAAGTTATGAACTTCTTGGCCCTCCCTACTGTACTATATGAATCCTGGTATTCACAATGTCTACATGCTGTGTTAATACTGAAACTGTACATGAAGCATAAGAATTTTTTGTTCCATTTCTAGTTTTATGGATAAATTATTTCAGGTCTCTTATGTAGGGTGTTCATTTTGCCATACAGGACTACAAATTTTATTGTTTTATTGTTATTGTTATTGTTGACATTTGTATTTACACAGCAATGGGGATTTATGGATCCACAGAAATAACAGACAACCATTTGGGAAAGTTTACATCTACAGTTAGATCTCAGTCCCAATCTGGATCTAAATTCACATGTTCCTCAAAATGAGAGATGAGATTCTACCGTTCATGTGAAATGGATGTTAGCTGGGTTTTCCTGACCCCTTTAGGCTTTCCTAACTTCCACAATGTCTGAGTTACAATACAAAAAATATTTTCAAACTTTGTCATATATGAATTCTTACTAAGGAAAAGAAGGCTCTTGTAATAACTTGTCACCAGACTTTTTTTGGTCATGTTGGGAATTTTAAAGAAAAAAAATTCCCTGGAGAACCTGTGAAAATAAAACAAACAGAAACAAAAATATATTGGAAACTCTCTTACATGATGTTATTTTAAAGACTCATAAGACCTATATTTGAATGGCAGAATCTTCACTGGAAAAGCCTAGAAATAAATGAACACCCCCACCCACAATTTCTCTCACTCTTCTGCTTTGTGGAGGTGCTGGTGAACCACAGCTGCATCAGCATACAGAAATAAAAGTCAGAGTATCAAATTCTGCACGTGGTTTTATCCCATACAGCTGTGCAATACCTTCTACAAATCACAAATTCTTCTGGGTTTTGTTTTCTGTAAGAATGGGACTACTCACTTGTGAAGAGTGTTATGATTCACCCCAATTAGATTCAAATTAGAGAACTATTCCTTTTAATGAGTATAAAAAATTACATTGGAATCCCATCACTAAGGGACAATCTGATGTTTATTACATGTAACTTCTAGTCTTGCAATGTGTGAGGGATGCATGTGAATATCAGCACATCTCTAAAAGTTCAGCAGCAAAGTTCCTTCTCCTTGTCAACATTTGTTAATATGATTTTTAATGAATGCAATCTGCTATGCTGGGAAGGTGAACACTAACTGCTGCTGGGAAATAAATTCGAGATGAAAATCTTTCTTGTCACCTCGGCCAGGAAGAGAGATGGAGCTGCTTCTTGGCAGAACTTGCTAAAGAGCACTGCAGGTATTACTCAGTAGTGCTCTGCCTCTGTCTTCTTCAGAAAATACCTGAAGGAAATATTCCACCAACATAAGAGAGACTCCAAATATTGAAATTCTGACTCCTTTCTCAAATTACTGTTTGAGTTTGAATAACAGCTGTCTGCATTTTGTAATTTTTATCTGAAGGCGTAGAAAGCAAAAGGGAGGAGGTATTGATGTAACACATTTTCTCCCAGATTATTTTTGACAGAAATTCTGCATAGTTAGAGGGTACCATGACATACAAAACATTTTAATTCTGTATTCAGTAGAAAAGTTCTACTATAATTAGAATTATCACAGTTGTAGCCCTTATCATTAACCAGGACACCATTTCTCTTGTGATTTTTTGAAGGATATTGAAAACCTTTTCCAGAAGGTTTCTCATTTAAGGCAGGACTTCTACATAGTCAGATCCATCCTGGCTCTTCTATCTCTTAAATCCAGCTGCTTCATACTGTTATTTAAGTGTTAGATCTAACTAAGCAAAGGGAAAATCCTTCTTCACTGGCCCCACTCATTGATTTTTTTCTCCCACAGTTGGTCAATTAACTGTTTGAGAATAAACAGAACTTTCTTATAAATGCCTAAGAGATTTGTAGAAATAAATTTTTACCAGCACTTTTATACTTTGAAATAAAACTAGTAACTTGGTAAATTACAACACCAGTACTTATTCAGAACTAGAATCATCAGAATTCTTATCCCCCATAAAAGCACTAATCAAAAAGCATTTTTATCACTTCCTCTCTACCCCTCTAGAATCTTCCTTCCTTAATTTAAAATGTTATTGTTCCCATTCAGCATAGCCTCTACCTTCTTCATTTCCAGGTCTATAAAATGCACATTAAAAGGGCTGTTTACAAGGCAAAATGTCCTGAGACCAGTGGATGAAATACTATTATGAACCCACTCTTACTATGAACTGCCCAGAGCATTGCATTCTCCCTTGCTCATCCCATGAACATTCCTCGCAAAAGTTTTAAAACATTTAAAATACACCTAATGGCTCTGTTAACAGATGTATTCTATCTGACAGGATTTAGCCTGGTTGAGTTTACCTACTAGCTGATGCACTTAAGCTTCCTGTTCTGAGCACAGTCTGTGAGGCTACAATGCCTCATTGTTTGGCTCCTTATAGGTGATAATGAAATTGGCATTCAGTTCCCACTCCTGAATGGCTTCCATGAGACTTTGAAAAAGTTGTTTGCTACTCCTGGTATTATATAACCATCTTAGTTTCAGCATGCAAAAAGGCATGCTCTAGTCAAATACCTTATCTCCAGGATTATATTAATAAGTAAACATGAGTCATGATGGGCATCAGATATGTCTGTGTCTATACACGATATTCAGTTAGGACTCTTAAAAATTGAGTTAAATCTGTTAGTTAAATGGATTGTCAATACATTACCCTATGACTTGGGCAACCCTTCATTTACTACACAAATGCCCCAGTTGCATTTTTGCCTGTACACAAGTTAACATTACATTGGAAAATGAAGAGGATCACAAGCAGATTGCATTACCTGATAGAAATCTAGCCTTGTCCAGCTAAGCTTTAAATTAAGATTTTAGAAGTGCATGATCAGTGCCTAATAAGCGAGGCTGAAAAAGCACTGAGCTTTCTGACCACAGTCCAGCAAAATACTGAATCATGCTTAACCATAAGGACACAAGTAGTCCCATAGATTTCAGTGGAATTAAGTGGTTTCATGCCTACATCTATCAGTAGCAGAATTCAGCACTTGCAAATGTAGTCACTAAAGGAAGCTCATAAGCACTGAGCAATGGATACAGTGACCTTGAGTGTGTATCTACCATAAGAATAGAAAGTAACTACAACATAGTACTCTTTATGTGAGATGTGAGTGGTTTGAAAATAATTGATAGTATTTTCTAAGTGCAGCTCAGTCAGAACTATAATATTCTTGTCTTATTAAGTTAAAATGAAAGAAACAAAGGTTCTGACAACTTAAATTGTACGTACATATTTCACTGCAAAATATCAGACATAATTGATAATTTACAATGTCCTTGACAACTTAACAGATAGAAATTGTGTATGTGGTCCAGCAAACTGAATTGCAATTATTTCAATGTTCTGGACAATCACATTGATATTTTATTGCTCCTTCTCATTACATTTATGAACTGGAAGTATTAAGAAATGCAAAGCAGCTCCTTTGAACATATTTACCCCCACACAAAAATCTCTGCCAGATATTTCTACAGGTTATGAAATGATTTAAACCTTCAGCAACTTATTTTAATCTATCATGATTGATAGCGTATCTTACCAGGAAAAAAGGTTATAATAGGGCTCTTCTAATCGTGAAATATCTGGAACCATGAACAGTTTGTTTATCATCAGGCCTTCTCAAAAGGACCCTATTTTTCCACAGTCTTTCGTAATTTCTTTTATTATTTAACATAAAATTGTTATATGAATTCCATGTATAAACTCATGCCCTTTGTGCTTAAAATGGGATTTTAAGCCTTTAGGACCAACTGAGCATCTCAGAATATCCCAGATATCTACCTCGTGTTCAAAGTGCCTGAAAACACTAGCATATCCTTTCTTGGCTTGAAATGTACCTACATGACGATAGTCTTGTGCTACTGGCATTCCTGAAATATTCTGGCCTGGACAAGGGACATTACTCCCACCTGAGATTTCCAGAAAACCAGTGATTAGACCACCTGGCACCTAAATCCAATAGTTGAACTAAAGGCATGCTGAATGACAGGATTAGGCTCCTTGCAGACACACAGTCATGGTGGTGACTGACTTCACTTTGTTAACTAGCTGGATGAGAAAGCATTTACACGAGATGTGGAAGATTAGGGATCAGATCACTCATATTTGCATACAGGGTCTCGACTTTGAATTCATGTCTGAATTCAGTCTCAGACTCATCAAGGATGAGACTGGATCAAGGACTCCTACCTTTCAAGCATCTTTTAGGAATCACTCAGGCCAAGTGTCTCTCAGCCTCCTTAGCTAAAGCTCTTCTAATCTGTAAAGTAAAATAACTAGATTTTAGTCAAAGCAGAACTTGGGTCACTCTTCTTGCAGACAAGTCTCCAATATGGCTGAGGAACCATCCCCTAAGTACATTCAAAGAACATTTTATGCATCAAATGAAAAGAACACCTCCAACAGCACACATTGGGGGGGTGGGGGGTGCATGTGTTGTGTGTTGGCCTGTGGGTTCCCAAATGCCACAAGCCTTGCCAAGACAAGGGTTACCCCTGAGAGGCTGCAGTACATGGGCAGCTCACACTTGGCCATAGACAGCCCTGAGAGGTTGCAGTGCACAGGCAAAATACACAAGGGTAGGGGTAGTAATTATAAGAACAGCAGCAGAAGACCAGTAAGAAGCTCAGAGCTTCAGACCAAAATCTACATGCACACCACCAGCTTCTTGCACCACTCCTCATCTCACTGGAGGAATTTGTACGGACCAAGTGTAACCCTTACTAAAAATGAGAGAACTTGAGACTAAGAAGTGGGAGGAAAGGTGTTTGCCCGGAGTTGAGCTTGGGAAAAGAAGAAGAAAAGAGTTTATTTGTTTAATTGTTTATGTTCTTTTCTTCTTAATACACAAAATATTGATCAGAAATTTCTGTTAATGGACAATAAATTAAGTACAAATTCCCCAAGTTCATTTTCTTCATGGTGTTCACCTGAGCAAAAAGATCAAAGTCCTCCACAATTGTACGTCCAGTCTCAATCTATCTCCATGAAGCATCACCTCACGGAAGGAGACCATGGAAGTAACCACCATTAACACAGAAACACTGATGCATTCATTCCTGTCCATATTTGTGAGTCAAAAAATATTAGACTCAACATACCTCCACAACAAAGATGTGCAAGACATGTAGGCTCACTGAGATGTTTCTTTCAGGGTTTCTACACCACTTGCAATAGGTGGATAAAGTAAGTGATGTGTTGCCAGAAACGTGTCAAGCATCCAGGGCTACAATACCTGAACTTGTCTATCTCATGGATTCATGCATCTATATCTCACCTCTTACAGAAAAGACCCTAATCTTGAGTGATTTTAACTTTCCTTGGCCTAAAAATTTAATCAGGTTTCTTGCTAAGATTCTCTAATTATGACTTTCTCAGTCAACGTTAACCTTTATTTGGACCTTTATTTTTTCTGCAAAACAAGAATCAGTTATGTTTGCTAGTTTAGTACTGACAATCATGGTCTTGTTTATTTTATACTGTTGTCAGTATCTTTTTTAAAAAAGCAACATAGCAAAATAAAAAAAAAGTAATTCAGACAAATAGCATTTTTACATTGACAGGAAAGTTTAAAGTCATTGAGGCCAAAGAATTCCCACCAAGAGGTTTTGGCTCCAGAAAGTGACTAACTCCTTTTATGCAAATAAATAGATATCTATCTGTTCTTGCTTCTATACCTCAATAAAATCTGTAAGCAGCTTAAATGTTTCTGTGCAATATAGCATGAAGCTGTGAAAAGCAACATACCATTTCACTTCTTGTAGTAATTTCAATTGCAGACTTTAGAAGACCAGTTGTATTATAATAAACAAACCATACAAGTCTGATCTGATTGTGCAGACAGTAAGCAGGCACACAGTTCGTCTTAATGTATACTAAAAATTCTTGGCACCCCAATGCAAACAAACTGCAATGAAAAAAATAGCAGCATGAGCAATCCTCCAAATCTTGCTTAAGATCCTCTTCATTGCCCCATGATCAGTATTCCCTTCTTCTTGTACTGAAATGCATACAATTATTTATGTAGGTCTGAGACAAGGAAGAAAGCAAAACTCTCTCTCACTGAGAATATTTTCAAGCAGTCTTTCAGAAGTTTAACGCAAACACAGTAACATCTCCCTTTAAATAATATTCATTTTGTGCAGATGCAGCTCTATACATGCTATGATACATCTGTGATCACTTCTAAGGAACAACTGTATCAAACTTTCATGGTAGCTACATGTTCGGTATTAGAATTCAAGCTGTCATTTTAATGAATAAAACGGCCAGGCAGTCAAAACTGCCGTAGCTTGAATTTGGTAAGAGCAAACAGAATAAGTCACTAGCAGAAAATTTTCTTTTATAAAGAACTTCTGTTTGATTTAGGGGGTTATTCTAGCAATGTATTTTCCCCTAAGAAATCCACAGCTCTGAATGCCTCTGAAAACTGTTTTAGTGCCAGAAATACTTTTACATTTAAAGTTTAATTATTGCCCTTACTTCTATCTTCTGACGCCAGACAAAACTTTTGGTAGTCAGTGGGAGTTCTGTATATCTAAAGTCACCTCTGCAAAGAAAACACAACCAGTTAAAGATATACTGTCAAGTAGATTTGAAATAGCATTTAAAATGTTTCTGTAATTGGAACTATAAAGAAAATTTTAACTGTCTAAAATACAGTTTCTATAAATGGCAATATGTTTCAAAAATTGTGTTAGCATCTTCTGTGTTAAAAACTTGAGATTTGTCCTTATGGCAATAATTACTTGGCAATTCCAGTTAACACAAAATAGGATTTTTTGCTGTCTCTGTAGCAAACACAGCATTGATGCCTCTGTTTCAGATGTCAATATTCCAGATCTTTCAATCACAACCATTTAACTGATGATTAAGCTGCCACTCTGTCAGGACTCCTCTTTATTTTCCTTCACTTCAAATTCACTTAAAGTACTTTATCAAGTTACAAACCCAATATAATTTCTTTTCTTAACTTTTCTTATGGTCTCATCCAAACTAAATTAGTCTATAATTTCATCTTCCCTGGATGAAAATTTGGATAGGAGACAAGATTCACTGAAATGTTCTGCATCTGTTCACAGTACATTTGTGTGTAATTTATCATTACATCATAAAACATAGTAGACATTCAGTTTTGAAAACTGAACACTCAGTTATTGGTACAGTAAACGCAGATGGCAAGTGTGTTGCAGATAGTGTCGAGAGGACTTTCCTGATGCTTTTGCTCCTAAGTAACACTTTTTACCATTAATTAAGTAACATTGGGTATTAATTTTGTTTTTTCCATGGCAATTCCTGGAAATATCATACTTACATGTGGAATATATATTTATATAATTATAAATAAATATAGAATATTTTGGATAGTCTTGCATGTGTGAAATTGACTATTTCCCAGCAATCGTTTGGAGATAGAACTCTGTAAAAGAATATAACAAAAATTCTGGTCTTGTAGCTTTTTAAAATCAATCTTCCTCCAATAACAAATCATGAGGATTTAAAGCATAACACATACATCCAGTTACAGCAAAATAAACTGAGCAATTTTTAACCATGTTTGGTCTTTATCTTGACTGATACATTTTTCTTGCCACTTCTTTGAGATTCCATTTAATGAGATATAACCTATTTCTTATACAATATGCAAGTCACCATCATCATGAAGAAAATTTACAGTCAAGAAGAGAAAATGACATAATACCACAGGAATAGTTTCACGTTGACAAGAAAGAAGATTTTCCTCCAAAGCAGAACATTGACTTGACTACTTAAAGATGCTTCATAAATAAAACACTTTCTTAAGAAATATCTAAGGTTGCAACACCCAGAAAGTCCCAGAACTCCCAGAAAATTATATTGCTAACGCCACACAATGACTAAGCTTTCTAAAAATGGTTTAGAAAGAATGAAGGTCAAAAGGAACAGAAAGAAGACACAAATACACTATGTGATTTGCCTTTCCTCATCAAACAGTGCAGCTATACAGGTCCATGGCAGATACATGTATTGCACCATATTGGGACGAGTTATGCCTACATCATTTTCTCATAGCCTTCCAATATCCTGTCCGACTGGTAATCCTTGCACTATTTGACCTCTCAAGAAATCTCCGTTCTACTCACCAAACACACTCACTCTCACCCCGTCTTCTGCATTTTTCTTGATTCTTCTGCCAGGAAACCAAAGCTTTTCCATGACCCAGCAGCTGGATTTAGAAGGGGATCAGTTAAAATCTAGCCCTGTTTATAAGGACAAATGATGATCTTTGTACATTCAAAAACAACCCCTTGTAGCCTCTTAACCTTGTCCCAAAGTTGCATTTCTCCTCGGCTAGGTCAACTTAACAAAACATGACCAAGTCATGTCAATGATATTATAAGCCAAGAACACAACAAGAATTTTGAAAAAAACAGAGCTGCAATGACATTTTCAAAATGTTTAAATGTTTATTTTAGTCTGGTTGCTGACTAAATTTCCCAGGGAAGTTTAAGATTGAAGTGACATGAGGTGTACAAACCTATTGGAAGTTTGCTTTCTTTCTGATGACATTGGGGATTGTCTGTAAATTCCTGGTATTTGATGAGCCTTGCATTGATAATATCTTAAAAAAAAGACTGAAAGAAATCATGGAAGAAGAACAGTCCTGAGCTAAGAGCAATGTAACGGCCTGAGGAGAAATAGGGTCACTTTTGTAATTTAGCAAACATATAAGGATGTTGTTTTTACGGATCTTCAATCTTTCCACCCCACAGACTGAGAAAGATGATAGATTGTCCACATCAGATTTTGGGCCCATCATTATTTTGTGTCGCAGTTATGTCAAGTACAGTGAGTTTACAATCTCAGTTGAGACCTCCAGGACATAGTAATATATACAAACAGACAATAAGAAAAAGCTACTAGCATAAGTAAAAAATAAATTTTTGTACTGTGGTAATCATTTAATGAATGAAATTACTAAGACAAACTTCTCTATGTCCTTTTAGGGTTGTCAAAGTTTGAATTACTTTCCGAAATAAACATTCCTCACCATTTCACCCTTCTTTAATTCTTCCAGAATTCAGCAAATATTAACTGTTTTGTCTGAAATATTGGATGTTTGCTTCAGGATGATTCAATTATTACCATCTGAGAGATTCTGATGTCTGCAAAGCTTCAATTGAATAAGACCAGTCTAACCTCTGAAAAATATCAATTCCACGATGCTGAAGAGAAGATTGCAATAATACAACAGATCCTCACCAAGGATTCAGTTGATACTGAGCGTGTTCAGTCCCAACAGAGCATTTACCTTTTAGCTGAAGTGCTGCAGAGGCCAGTATACTCTCTTTCAAGTTTTAATTGATTTGCTGTATTTGTTATATTTCCCACACTTGCAGTCAGTTACCACTGGGGGGAGAGGATAAGCAAACCAAAGACAACTAAATTTTCATATACACTAATCAAATCCTGCCAATCCTAAGAACAACGAGACTTCATATCCCTTCTTCCTCGTAGGTTTAAACCTATTTTCCTAGTTTGTAACAACCTTCTCTGGTATTGTGAAGGAGTGTGCTAAATTTCAGGAATCCCAAGATTTCTCTTTCAGCAGAATATTGTGGGTGCAGGGGTGGAGATGGTGGTAGAGTGTCAAAATGAAAATTTATAACAGAGTTGTGGCACAACTTCAGTTACTGAGTGATTACTGCCATTCCTTAGTAACCCACTTTCCTCCTCAAGCTATGCCGTTAACATTCTGGAGTATTAATTAGTGGCTTTGAGGTCATCTCCAGCACTTCAACTATGTCAGGATTCCTCAAAATTTGGAAAGAAACAGCACGAACCATGTAAGAATCTAGAACCAGATGCAGAAGTAGACCTGTTTTGATACAATCACATCAGGAAAAAAAAAAGGTTATATTATTTCCAATTAAAATGTCTAAATTGTTAACAAATACTTCAGCAAAATGTATATTTATCCTACAGGGCAAAGGAGTTAGAGACGTGTTCTCTCTTGTAAAGAGGCCATATTGTTCTCCACTTCAGTGTGTGATCTTCAGGATCTTCTAAGAATATCCGACAGACAGACAGCATGGAAAGGCAGGGATGAAAGGTCTCTATAAATCTTTGTGCCAACATTGGAAGAGCAATTTCTGTGGCTGCTTCAGCCTTCTGGATCTTAGTGGCTCATGTTCTTCCAAGGATAGTGTATTGGACACGCATTTTGATTTCTAAATTAAATGCTTGGTATGCTCCTGAGAACTTCACAAAGTCACCTTTCCAAGCAGTAACTGAGGGTGCATGCACTCCATGAGGCTGTGACATCTTCAGAGACCACAATTACTTTGAGCCAGTTTTCTAGTAGATGCTGCCTCCCACAAGTTGATGAGCTCCAGATACTATGGTTCCACTCATTCTGCTTTTCATCCATAAATTGAAGTTCTGCATTTGGTACCCTTGCCAGACATCCCAGCCTGGTATTATGCATTTGAATGCCTCGCTCTATTTCTAATGTATGTGAAAGACTAGTGCCTGATTTTTTAAAGATTTTAGGGATTTTTGTTTGTTTGTTTTTTAATGTGACTGAAAGATCACCTGTTAAATGAACCAGAACAATGAAAGTATAAAAGAAAGGTTTCACCTGCTGTTGTATGGAATTACTGTTTGCCACCACAGTAACATGATTTTGGGATAACTAATGAATGAGCTGTGTTGTGATAAACAAAGCATTAAGAATGTTAGGATATAAAAAGATTAATGGTAAATTCTGCCTTTCATCTCTCTGACCATGATTTTGAAATTATTTTTAAAAATATTGTATTAAACCTGTAGAAATGTTTTTTCTTCACCCTGAGAAGTACCTTAAAAAGCAAGGGATGAATATCTAAACTATTTTCAGTTACTTTAATAAAAGTAATTACTGTTTTGAAAAAGATAGTTCACCTGTAATTTTCTGACCTACAGGAGTGGATTACCACCATCTCCCAGTGTTTTCCAGTTGTATGCACAAAGATATATGTGAATTCAAGGGCAGGTCTACACTACACTATAGTGAGCTGGACCTGAATAAATCTATAATTTTTTTATTTTATTTTGTTTCTATCCTTTTGGTGTTTTATCCAGGACACTTGTATCTATGCTCTATGATAAACCATGAGTTGCTAACATTACTTTTTATCTTCCATTCAGCCTGGAGAGGCTCAAAATGAAACCAAAATTGAGATATGCAACATGGATTTACAGGAAAAGTATGCGTAAAGGCACTTTATATATACTATTTACCCAATTTTTTATCAATTAAGTAATAAAAGTAAGACTTTGTTTTTCTTTCCCAAACTTTAACTAAAATTATTTTAGAGCTCATTTTGTATAATCTGGAATAATAAATTCAAAGAGGACACTAATCTTCTTGGTTACTTCAAGTCTGAAGTACCCTTTTCAGATGAATAACAAACTGAATTTATTATTTATATATATATATACATGTGCATGAGAAAGATGACTTCAGCACTTTCTTGAAATTAACATTATTCTACCTGCAATTACTTAAGCAATTTCCCAGGAGATAGCT